GACCCCTCCTTGGGTTTCCGAGGCAGTATCACTACGGAAGTAGATTGCCCCATCTTCCTTCCGAGGAGTGGCAGGTGGGTTTGAACCGCCAGCCTTCTGGTTAGCAGTCAAATGCCTTAGGCACTATGCTACACAATAATACCCTGACATTGAGGAAGTGAGCTCCACTAGGGCAGGCTTGGCTTTGCTCGCTGCTGCATCCATACTGCTGAGAACCCGCTGGGCACTGGGAATAACGGAGCAAACGCAGTGACAATCATGCAACAGACACGTGGCAGGGCTGGTAGGCAGCAACCAGGTGACAGTGTCTCTGCCTTGCAGGGGGGCTTTGGGATCCTGGAGGAGATGTGCGTCAACTACGTGCACTACTATCCCCAGACGCAGCTGGAGCTCTGCAAGAGTGCGGTGGACCCCGGCTTCCTGCAGAAGTACTTCCACCTGGTGAATAGGTGAGTGCCATGGAGCACATGCCAGTATGCTCTCCATGCCCAGGGTGCCAGGGGACATCACACAGAATCCTCAGGCCCTGTTCAGGTGGGGCAAGGGAGGAATCAAGTCCCAGCCCTGCACAGACTCAGCAGGCATGTGGCAGCCATACTCTCACCGACGTGCCTGTGGCAGGCATCACTAATTGAGGCCCGCACAACACTCCTGCTGAACATGTACCTGGCCTGAGAGGCTGCAACAACCCTGCGCTCCAGGTAGCTGCTACCAATCCATCCACAGAGTGACTCCAGTAGCTATCAAAGGCATGGGGGCAGGGCAGCGATCCAACTTAGGTAGCCTTTGTGGGTGGGTAGGACTTGGACTGTGTAGGTCTGAGGCCACTCAGGTATCTGTGGGGAGGTGGGCCTGTGTCTGCTGGTCCCCTCCCTCCTGCCATACCCCAGATGGGGCTGTCCCTTTTCCCCACAGGTTCAACAGTGAGGATGTCTGCACCTGCCCGCAGACCTCTGTGCCACAGCAGTTTGCCTCTGTCCCTTGGAACTCCTTCAACCGAGATGTGCTCAAGGCCCTCTACGGCTTCGCCCCAGTCTCCATGCACTGCAACAAGTCCTCAGCTATCCGCTTCCAGGTATGACACCCCATGTACGGCACCCCAGGTATGCTCACCCCAGGTGTGCTGTCCCCATATATGCCCACCCCAAGTGTTCTCACACCAGGGATGCTAACCCCCGGTATTCTCATCCCAGGTATGCCCACCCCAGTTGTTCTCACCCCAGGTATGCCTACCCCAGGTGTGTCTTCCACCAGGTGTGCCCTTCCCTAGGTGTTCCCACTGCACAAATACCCACCTGGTGTTGTAGGGCTGCACAGCTGTGGCCGGTCTCTGAGTCCATCAGATAGAGGGCAGCTCTGTCCTCAGTGACACCCTTCTCCCTTTATGACGCCCATCAGCCAATCTTGCAGGGTGCCCACCTACAGTGCCCAGTGTGCAACAGGCCCCATGAAGACCCCAGAGTTGGTGCCCTACCTCCAAGGAGCTGGCAAGAAACACTCAGAGGAGCCAGTCAGGGAAAGAGTCAAGTGGGGACAGCCAGACAGGCAGCTGGCCTTGTGGTGGGGGGCCTGGCACACCTGAGACCCTCCTCCTGGATATGAGCAGGGTGCCTGGAAGCCACCCCCAGACTGAAAATATAGTGTGTAGAGGGAAACAAAACGTGAACCCCTAGAAGCAGGTAGGCCTCCTTGATGCCCACTGGGATTTAGAGGTAGTTCATTTATTCCCAGCCCAGCTGTGGAGAGACAGAATTTATACTTGAATTAGTCATGTTGGATCTGCAGCCTGGAGGTCTGGGAAGTGGGCCTTTGCTGCAGTTTGGGAGCCTGATTATTTCCTAAATCAAACATTTCCAACACGGAGTGCTAATGCTGGGTTGTCTGAGAGTAGTATGGGGTGGGCAGCTGGTGGCTGAGCCCGGGGTGTCCTGTGCAGCCTTCTCTGGGAAGGGTGGCTGAAGCCACAGTCTGAAGCTAGAGGGCTCCATTTGGGCAATGGATGGCACTGAGTTGGGGGCAGGCCCGGAGGACTCACTGAGGTGGAGACCCCAGTAGGAGGAGCAGGTTGTGCGGAGAAGGGAGAGCGTAAATTGGGAAGGGTGCTGGAAAGGTGGGTGGGGAGGTGGTGCCCGTCGCCCCAACCCCAGCCTCAGTTTACCCCAGGTGTCTTCCTTGCAGGGTGAGTGGGATCTGCAGCCGCTGCCCAAGATCACCTCCACTCTGGAAGAACCCACCCCACAGTGCCCCCCTAGCCGAGTCCAGAGCCCCAGCGGCCCCACCATGGTCAGCATTGGTGGGGGCAAAGGTTGAGTGGGCAGCCCACAACTCACCCATCCTCTCATGCCATCCCTGTGAGCTCACACCACTTCTGTGCCCCTGCACACCCTCTGTAAAGACCCCCATGGAACAGCTCTGTGTGTCCAGGATGGAGGAGCCCAGCCAAGATCCCCCAAGACATAGCCCATCCCAGCCCTCTCCCTAGGCTTAGGGACCCCTACATGGCTGTGGAGGTCCCATGAGGGCTCCCTGTTGACCTGACCATCAGTGAGCCAACCACACCCTCTGTGTAGATGCAGCATATGAATAACCACTGACCACTGGGCCAGCATCCCACATCCCTGGTCTCTCCATGCAATGACCACCCCTACCCCATCGCAGGGCCAGCTGCCCCATCCACCTCCCCTTCTCCTCTCCCCCCACCAATGAACCCAGTGATGGGCACAGACCCTAGGCTGGCATCCCTGCCCCCATGCATGGTGATCTGTGTTGGTATGCGCCAGGTACGAGTGCTATTGAACCACCTCCCTGCACAGCGGCTCCTTTCTCCCAGTGGGCGTCTTTGCTGCCAGCGGAGGCAGGACCAGGCATTTAGCTAGTTAAAGAGCTGCCAGGGGAAGTGGCTCCACTGCAGAGTAAACAGATATTTTCGCCCACCTAAAGGGGAACCCTAACAACAACCATCACCACCGGAAGGGGAGCTGGCGCTGGGGGGATGTAGTCCTCCACTCAGGCAGCTACCCCCATGGTATGCTGCATGGTTCATAGACCATGCTCGGGGTCCAAGTCGGCTCTGCCACTGAGTCAGGGGGAGACTTGGGCAGGCTATTTCTGTTTTCTCATGTGAAATGGGCCAAGGGTGTGAGGTTTGCTCGGGGATAAAGCTCATTCCCAGAGAATGCTGGCACATGGCAGCCACTGCTTCTGTGAGAAGCGACTTCCTCTAGCCACCTCTTGACCCAGAGGAGCTGACCATATCATCTCTGGGTGGGTCAGGTCATCTCAGGCTCTCTCCACTCCCCATGGGCTGCCCACATATAAAGACAAGTTCAGTGCTTGGCTGGTTTCTGGAGGGTGTCTCAGACTGCCCAGCCTCGGGGGGGAGAAAGAGGAGAGGGTGATGGATGGACCCTTTGCTTCCCCTCCCAGACGTCAGCTAGGCACTGCTCTGTCTGCAAGGCACTTCATTAGAAGGAACAAGCAGCTGAGAGACTCTGCATCGCCCTCTGTAAATCACAGTAAAATGCCAGGCCCTGATGGAGGCAGGGAGCATCTGGCCCTGGGTCATCTTTACAGCTTGGGGTGACATGTGGAGCAAAGTACAGCTTCTGTGGGCCTTGGGTGGTGAGCAAGGCAGGCTGCAGCTCCCCCAGCCACAAAGATCCCTCCCTCTGACCATGCCCCCATCCCTAGCCCAGCCCAGTGAAGGGCCTGGTTAGCCCAGGGGGAGTAGGTGTGAGAGAGACACAAGTCAAGGAGCAAGCTTGACCTCACCCACCCACCCAAGCCTGTCCAGCAGTGACAACTTTGCTTCTCAAACACCCTAAGAGGTCATTCCAGTCTCTCAGATGAGGAAAACCAGACAGAAGTCAGACAGAAGCTCAGGGCCCCCAGAAGATTAGGTGGTCCAGAATCATACCAGCTCCCAAAACTACCTCTACCCACAGTGGCCCTCCACACCCTGCTCCCCATTGTGTGCTTGTCTCTGACCCAGCAGAGGGCACTGGCTTGTCACTCTCTTCCTCCCAGTGAGCAGTCTGCTGGGTTCCACCCACCCCACCCCAGCCTTGGCTCCATCTCGCTAGGGACACTCATGCTGGGTCCCTACATTCATAGTATTGCCATGCAGAGCTGCTGTTGAGAGCCATTACAAGCTTGTGTTATGCGTGAGGCACTGTGCTAAGGTCACCTCACTGAATGCCCACCAAAAAACCTTGACATAAGCACCAATCCCTATTCCCACTGACAGCTGAGAAAACAGGCTCAGAGATCTTAGTTACTGACCCAGGTCACCTAGAAGTGAGTTGTGGAGCCCCCAGAGTTTTAGCTCTCACCCACCCCCATCTTCTTTCTTATGGACAGGCATAGAGTGCCCTCTAGGGCACTGTGGGGATCAAAATGAGATGTTGGGGAGATGCTTTATTAACTGAAATACGTCAGAATGAGGGTGGCTGCCTTGACCAGGCCCTCACTGGTCTAACTTCCCAATGACTGGAGGATGGCCAGAGCCCAGGTGAGTCCAGCCTTCCTGTTCTCATCCCACTTCTGCTGTGTGGCTCTGGGCAAGTTGCTTTCCCTCTCTGGGCCTTCATTCCTCCAACTGCCAATGAGGGTAGGGTTCCCAGCCCCCAGGGGGGCTTCCAGGATGGCATGCCAGTCAGCTGAGTTCCCTCTAAGGTGGTCTCACTTGAGATCAATGTCAAGGGGGCCTGAGGGGTTCCCCAAGCTTCAGGCTCCAGCTGGAGCTGGTGTGTCTGCCTGGCTTGGCCCCAGCATGCTCCAGGCAGGCTGTCCAGTGTGGTATCTGCTAGCCCCATGTGTCTACGTAAGTTTAAATGTGAGTTAATAAAATAAAGCCTTCAGTGTCTCAGTCACATCATCATGTTGCAAATACTCAACCAATGTGGCTACTGTGCCAGACGGCACAAGTACAGAATACTGTCCTCAGAGAAAGCTCCACTGGACAGCATTGCCTCAGGGCAAGTGGTTCCACATGGCACCAGGTCAGCCAAGCTCCATTGGGAGGTGGAGGGACCAGACCCCCAAAGACATCCTCACAGCTCAGAGTGACGAAGGGATCAGCCTCTTGGCAGGCCTGACTCTGCACAGCTCTGAACAGAAGCTGCCTGGAAGCTGCAGGGATACAGGGGGTTGTCACAGGCTCATTTTGAGTGGGACCAGTCTTCGTGGTTAGGGACTGTCCCTCATGCTACAGAAAGCTTCGCCTCCTTGGTCCCTGACCAACACATCATACCAAAAACCAAACTCACTGCCATCGAGTCAGATCCAACTCATAGCGACCCCTCCTTGGGTTTCTGAGGCAGTATCACTATGGAAGTAGATTGCCCAACCTTCTTTCTGAGGAGTGGCTGGTGAGTTTGAAATGCCAGCCTTCTGGTTAGCAGTCAAAAATGCCTTAGGCACTACCCTACCAGAGTTCACCAACATGTCAGTATGACCAAAAATGTTGTCATGTGTTTCCATGTGCCCTGTGAGAAAAGACTTGGAATATAGACTCTCAGAGACAAGTTGTTGCTCTCGCTCACCCATAATGTCGTGAAGATGGGTAAACTGAGGCTGGGATTCCTGGTACTTCACCTTCCCTCTGCTCCATGGCAGCTAGAAAACATTTGTTTTCAAAAAATGTCCTCCATTCAGTCTTCCTCTGCACCTAGATCAGGTCCCTTAAGAAAGGAAATCTGAGCTTTGTGGGGGGCTGTGGCCAATTTAAAGTTCACTGAAAATGATGAGAAGTCTCCCTGGAGAAATGTGTGTTTATACTCCCCAACTCCCGGCCCCATGGATGCACTCACTTCATGCACACACCCCACATCTGCCAGATGGTTCTTGGGTGGAAGGCCACCCCCAGTGTCAGTGAATCTCAGAAACTGCTGTGTCAGTGGGGACTTGGGAGCCTTCAGTGGAAGATTCTAGACTTGAGCCCCAGAGGCCCTTACTCAGGGCTCCTGCACATCAGAGGGGCTGCTCAGGGTGCTTTGAGTATCTGATTTAAGTGAGATCTGGGCATGTAGATTGAGGAGGTCTGCAGCCCCTTGAGGTCCATTGGTGGGCACAGACCAACTGTCCCCTGGGTCAGTCCCACTGTCCACTGTCCCAGAGACCCTGGATCTCGCCCCCTCATGCCACCTCTTCTCCATCCATTCTACAAACAGTTGCCAAGTGCCAGCTGTGAGCTGGGTTCTGCTGTGGGAGCCCCGCTACCCTTACACTCTGGGAAACAGATACACACAGACAAAGCGTGCACCAGCACACAGAGTAACATGGTAACAAATGTGAAGGGAAGAGATACCAGGACAGGGAGATGAGGTGTGCCAAGGCAGGGTGCAATTTAAAATAAGGCCACCAAGATGACCCTGCCCATAAGGACCTGTCAGTGAAGTCCTGAAGGAGATGAGGACATGAGTCCTTGTCAGAGTGGCCTTGGGCAGAGGGGACAGCCAGTCCAACAGCCCTGAGGTTGAAACAACCTTGACACTTTAAAGGAAGAGCAAGGAGGCCAGTGGGCAGAGCAGAGTGAGCAAGGGGGGAGTGGGAGGAGAGGTGAGGATCAGAGTAGCCATGATGGAGAGGCAGGTGGAGGGCCCTGAGCATGGAAGGGGCATGACCTACATTGTTGTTGTTATTTGCCATCGAGTTGGACCTGACTCATAGAGACCCCTCCTTGGGTTTCCAAGGTGGTATCACTACTGAAGTAGATTGCCCAATCTTCCTTCCGAGGAGTGGCTGGTGGGTTTGAATCGCCAGCCTTCTGGTTAGCAGTCAAGTGCCTTAGGCACTATGCTACCAGAGCTCCTACATTAGTTTGAGACAAACCCCTCTGGCCATGTGTGGGGAGGGCAAAGGCAGGGCCAGGTGGGAGCCAAGTGGGAGGCCAATTGGGAGGCCGTTAGGAGACAGGCGGAGGTAGGTGGGAGGCCAGTGGGAGGCCAGGTGGGGGCCAGATGGAAAGCCACGGCAATGTCCAAGTGTAAAGTGTTAGTGGTGCACAAGTAGGGGTGAGATGGGATCTGGCTCTGGATAAAAGAGAACCAACAAGATCTGCTGATTATTCTAGAATGTGAAGGCAGGAGAGGATGAGGGGTACCCTTTCGTTCTTCATGCGGGGCCAGTCAGGCCTGACTGTCCTACTCCTGGCCAGCTTTTCTGCCACCCCAACTCCTGTCCCAGTATTTGCCTCTGTGAGGACCTTCTTCTTTGGCCCCTCCCCAGCCAGAGACCAAAGCGTGGCCCTGGGCTCTCTCCCCTGACCCCTCCTCCTCTGACATCCTGGAAAGGCTATCTGGAGCCAATTGTCCTCATCTCCAACTTGATCAGCCGACTGTCCCAGTTCAGCCGGCAGCTGGGCAACAGGGCCTGTGAGTGTCTGAGAGTTGCCAGGGGCCCCCAGGACTGCCTGAGCCCAAGTCTGTGGGAGCCCAGTCCCCATGGTTCTGCTCCACACTGCCCAAAGAGCAGGCTGGGCGGGATGGTGTGAGGCAACACAGCCCTCTGGATCTGAACGGGAAAGGGACAAAGGTAGAGGTGGGACATCGAGGCCCTGCCTGGAAGGAAGAGCAGGGCTGCTCCTTGACATATGGCAGGTGCTGAAGAATGCTGAGGGCCAAGGGATGGAGCAGGATGTGCCCACATTTCATGACCCTGCACTGCAGGCCTTCCCAGCTGGCTAGCCTGGAGGAGGAGGAAGGAATGTGCAGATTGTTCCCTAACTAGACAGAGGAACTCGGGGCCTATCTCCTGGACAGGAGGCTGCTCCTGCTCCCCGGACCCTGGGAACCAAGGACTCATGGGGAAACCAAGGCTGGTGCATAGATCTGGGAGCCCCACACTTCTGCTGGCTTTTCTTCCTGAAGAACAGAGAGGTCAAGGCAGAAAGAACTTTCTAGCTCCTCCTTCCAGGGATCCGAAAAATGAACCACTTGCAGACTGACCGTGGTGGCTGTTGTTGTTGTTGTTACTGTTTGCTGTCGAGTCGCCCCCAACTCATAGCGACCCCCCTTGGGTTTCCGAGGCAGTATCACTACAGAAGTAGGATTGCCCAACCTTCCTTCCGAGGAGTGGCTGGTGGGTTTGAACCGCCAGCCTTCTGGTTAGCAGTCAAGTGCCTTAGGCACTATGCTAGTGGTGGCAGAGAGGCACTAATCAGCCTGCGTGCCCACACAGTCCTCACTGCACCCATGGCAGACAATGCTAATCGATTACTGGTTGTGTGCCCCCATTCCAGACACAGCCTCACAACTCTTCCATGGAGCAATCCAGATGCCCACTGCTGATCAGCCACGCTCTGCACAGAAAATGAAACTCATTTGCCAACATTGCTTTTACACAGGGTCTATTAGGGAATTACACCCCTAAGGCACTGATTGAGGGCCACGGATATGGCCCCCAAGTCCAAGATGCTTTCAGGCAGCTTTATGTGGGGATGGACTAGAGAGACTGACCACGTGACTAAGTATGGGGGAGCACCTTTGGTCTTCTTTGCACTCTCTGTGTCCATCTTCACATGTTATGGCTTTAGCAGGATCAGGCCTAGACTAAGGACAGGGAGAGGCCAAGGTTCTGGCTGGTGCAGGAGCACCATGGAAGTGATGGTGCGGGAGGGCTGGCCTCAGCTTCTGGACGGGCCATGGTCACTGCCTGCACACCAGTCAGTAGATCCCTTTCACCCTCTTGTTGTCAGGGTCGAAGGGTGACTTCACATGCACTTGTGCAGCATAGGTCACCCCCATCCTCTCCAGGGCGTAGTCCCCACTCTTCACAAAGTCCAGGGACACCTGTGAGGCAGAGGGACAGTTACTCGTCCCTCAGGGTAGGCTTATACTCACCTGCCCCTCCAGTGGGGCCTCAGCCCCTCCTGCAGGCAAACTCACCACTGAACCAATGCAGCTGCTGTGAATTAGAGAGGGTGGATGTGCCCCTGTGCCTCTGGGCTGAATGCAAGTCTCGGACCCAGCCAGTAAGACTCTGCATTCAGATAATACCTCTGTCTGCCAGTAATCCCAGGTCCCGGGAAAATATAGGAAGCGGAAACAAGGATGGCTTCCTTGAACCTGGGTACACACTTGGATTTTCAGAGACCAGAGGACAACAGAGGGGCCTGGAGCCACACTGAGCCAGGATTGGCTCAGAAGAAAGGCTTGACAATCAACCTCCGAAAAGTCAGCCACTGCAAATGCTACAGAACACAGTTCTACTCTATACGCATGGGATTGGTCAGGATCGACCTGACAGCTTGACGGCAACTCCTTTCCCCCAACCCTGGCTTCCTGAGGTGGTCTCAACAGCAGTACATGACACGGGACTAATGCCCGACATGACACAACTGAGGCTCACAGGGGTGATGGCATGGGCTCAGTGTTCTACCTTTGCCAGCTGTGCAGCTCAGGTAGTCGCTCTCTCCATGCAGGGCTCATCTGAACAGAAGGGTCACAATTTTGAGCCTGTGGGGCCTCTGGGGAGGTGAATGGGCTCTATATTTATAACACCAGGATGTGACCATGGAGCCAGCAGGAGCTGCTGGTTTCTTAGTCAAATCCATGGACTGGGTTCGTACACCCCCTTTCCCCCGAGGGGCTGTGGCCCACAAGCAGATTCAGTCCTAACCAGGCAGCAAGATGATGGGCGGAGGCCTGGGGGACCTTGGATGTGACATGTATCCTCACTGTGCCTCAGTTTCCCCATCACTTAATGAGATAATGGGTGGACACTGGGTGGACAGCAGGCAGGGAACTAATCCACTAGAAACTCTTTTGTTGACAGCTGTGATGTCCCTGGCCTAAGTATGGATGGCAGGACCCTGGGGGACCTCACAGGAAGCAGACAGATGTATAGCATGCAGGAGGACTGGCCTACCACTATCTCCTTGGTTCTCCGGGAAGGACCCTCTGGTGTCTGGGCTGCGCTCCTGCTGCAGCCCCTCCATCCTCCTCAACCTTCCCTCCCGGGGCTGCAATCAAGACAGTGGAGGTATCTGGCCCCAACTGAGGGCAAAAGCATTCACTGATGGCCGCCTAACACCTACAAACCAGCAGAACACCTGGGCAGGTGAGTGGCCTCGGAGGAGCCCAGGCCAGACATGCCATCACTGCTCTGCCCAGAGTTTCTTCCTCCTGATTTGGTCTGGGAGCCCCAGAACTGGGAGAGAAATCCTTCCCTTTTTCCTAAAATACTGCACCATAAGGGAGCCTCTGCCATCTTCTGCACCAGGGAGCCGAGTTTCAACTAACCAGCCCCCCATCTGTATCCCCTCATCCTTGGAGTCCCTCTAGGCCTTCGCCAGCCACCCCCCAGCCTCCAAGTCTTCCTGCATGGGGCCCCAGCCCTCATCCTGTGCCCTCACCAAGCTTTGTTTTTGCATCATCATCCTCACCACTGCTTGTCTAGCCCTCTGAGCAGCAAGCTATACAACAGTTCTGGGGCCGTGTGGTCTGTCCCCATTTTACAGAGGAGGAGACTGAGTCTTGGAGCAGGAATGCCACTGCCCAAGGCCACAGAAAATTGAAGGGCAGAGCCCCAAAGGCTGGTGAGGTGAGACCAGTACCCAGAACCCCCAAACTCCCGAAGGACTCAGCCGCCCCCGCCCTCCCTGCCCTGTCCCCTAGAAGGGACCTGCAGCCCCTTCCCTCTCAGCCTGCAGGCTCTTCCCCTGAGGCTCCCCCAAGCTAGGTGAAGCTTCCAGAGACAAACTGGAGTGAGTCATCCCCATCCCCACCTCCGTCAGCATGAAGCTTCTCCCAGCCCCCCTCCTTCTGCAGGGTGGATGGGAGTTGAAGGAGCCATGTGGAAGGTGTGTGTCCCAGTACTCTATGTGTCTGAGTACACAGGAAGAGAGTGGCCCTGCTTCTCTCCAGCCAGCTCCTTCTAAGGTGCCTGGCCTCCAAGTCTGGGGCCATGGGGAGGGGGACGGGCTGGGGCCAAGCTGAAAAACAGGCACAGAGAACTGCCTGGGGAGCTGCCCACACCCTGTTCCTTGCTCTCCAGGGCTGTCTGGGACATGGCCAGTGATTCTCCTCTCTCTGTCCATTACCCCTTCCCAGGGGTGATCCTGCATCCTGACAGCATGTCATCCCTCAACTTCTCACATGCTATGGCCCTGGATCCTTTGGGGATGTGGGGTTGGTAGTATGGGATTACTCAGCATTGGGGAGGCTTTGTGTTGGGTGAAGAATGGGAGGACATGAGAAGGGGAGGCTGGCAGGAGTCTGGGAAGAAGTGGCTATCCAAAACAAAGGGCTGGTTTAGGATCTGGGGGTAAGAGGGAGCCAGTCCAGCCCTGGGCCTCTTTCTGATCAAGGAAAGCCTGGAGCTTCCAAACCAGACTTTCAAAGAGAAAAGACATAGTGCCGACTCCACCAGGAGACACGGCCCATTAATCATCATTTTGCTGCCCCTCCTGGGTCTCCCTCCCCAGTGTCTGCCTGGTATCCCTTGGAAGGGCCAGCCCCAACTCACCGGCCCGCCACTGGGGTCCCGGATGTAGCCGTATGCGATGGTCTTGTCGATAGTGAACCCAAAGTCAGCCCTGCGGATGTGGCCCACCACGTGGCCATTTCTCCAGATGGCCTCCAAACCGAACATGGGCACTTTTCTGAAGGGAAATAGCAGCTGAGACCCCAGAGCCCCACATGGGGAAGCGCATGTGCATGTCTGGGAGAAAAAGGGTGAGCAGGCCTGGACCAGCAGACCTCACACTCTACGCAGGAAGGGTGGTGCTGTGCCCTGCTGACACTGGCTGGTAGCTCAGCCCCAACCCAGGAACACAGGGCACAGTCTCCCCGGAAACCAACGAGAATGCATCCCTGAACCAGGAAAAGGGAAAAAACTAAACTCAGTGTCATCGACTTTCCAAGTCTGTAAATCTTTACGGAAGCAGACGGCATCTTTCTTCCACAGAGCAACTGGTGGGTTCAAACCACCAACCTTTTAGTTAATAGCCAAATGCCTTAACCACTACATTGCCAGAGCTCCTTACATCCCTAAATATAAACATCCAAACCAGAACTTGACTTTGGTGTCTATACAAACAAAACAAAACAAAACAAAAAAACCCACTCAGCCCATGTATGTGGAAAAGCCCCAACTTTAAATCTTCTCCATGTAACTTCTGAGTGTTTTAAACCGTTTCCTGCTGTGGCCTGCCCATTCTACTCTTTGTTCGGCTCATCATTACTCAAAAAAACCAAACTCACTGCTTTCGAGTCAATTCGACTCATAGCATTCCTTGGGTTTCCGAGGCGGAATCTCTACAGAAGTAGACTGCCCAACCTTCCTTCTGAGGAATGGCTGGTGGGTTTGAACCACCAGCCTTCTGGTTAGCAGCCAAATGCCTTAGGCACTACGCTACAGAGCTCCCTCATTATTCAAAGGTGTTGCATAATTTATTAAAAGTACTTTTTTAGGCTCTTTCTGTAAAATTTTTGGAAATTCAAAAATAGCAAAGCAGAGAAAATGTTAAACTGAAATCTCATCAAGTAAACAAAATAAATCTAATTAAAAATAAATATATAAATGAAATGAAATCTAATAAAAGAAAATAAAACTCAGTTAAACCTAAGTCACAGAAATGCCAGAGGTAACTAGAGTTACTCTGGTAACTAGAGTACCAGTTTCCAGAGGTAACTGGTAACATTTGGGCTTGAACTCTTCTAGAACTTTCCCTCCAGGTGCATCATTTGTGGTATTACTGGGTGCCTGCTGGGTTCCAAGGACTGTGCCTGGCACAGGGGACATGGCATGGGCATGGCAGACGTGTCATCTAGCCTCATGGGGCTCCTGAGGTTGGGGACCCACCTCACAGCATAGCAAGGTCTGTGTCAGGAGGGGAGCTGGGTGAGCACCAGGCAGGGAGCAGGGCAAAGTACTGTGTATGCCTGGGCTGTGTGACCATTGTGGGACCCATGCAGAATAAACAGAGCCCTGGCCAGGGTTGGGGATGTTCCCTTACTCTGCCCCCTGGAGCAGACCCACCAGGCTCTGCCTCCCTGACCCGGGTGGGATCAGATGTGTTGTTAACATGTCCTGGTGTCCTCTGTCCCACTACAGCCCTCTCCATTAGAAGTGACTGAGTCCAGAGAGGCTGCCCAGTGTGTCCAGGCCCCCGAGGACGAGTGAGGGGCTGCTCTCTGGATGCCACAATGAACAGCTGCTCCATGTCCTCAGCACAGTAATAGCTCTGCATGCAGCAGGGCTGACCAATCTGTGCACAGTCACAAGAGCAGGTTGTCAGCCTCAGGTGCTTCAGGGGCTCTGGTGCCAGGGCCAGGCATGCAGAGGGGCATGGCAGACCTACCCCTGTACCCCAAACTGGAGGCATTCCCCAGGAAGTGGATAAGTGCTCCCGTGGGAGACAAAGAATCTGACAAGAACCCAGAGAGCCATGGGACAGTGATAATCACCCCCACTTGTCACTCCCAACACTCTGAAGGCTCCAGGAATCTGGTAGAAGTGATGGCATTTGTGGCTGGCTGTCAGCTCCCTACCAGCAAAGCCCCAAGATGCCTTGTCTTCCTGGGGCCTCTCTATTCAGATTCCACCGGGCACCCCACCTCCCACAACTTCGTCAGTGGCATCTGATCATCTCAGAAAGCCTCAGAAACCAGGGTGCAAGTCAGGCTCTCGGAACCCAGTTCTACCAGGAATCCAAGGGAACGAGAGCTGGCCCCTGGGGACAGAGTGAGTGTCCCCACTCCTTAGGAGGTGGGGGAGGGGTCAGGTCCCCCCAGGAGGGCTCTCATTCCACATCTGGGTATGCACAAGTCACCCTGTCCCTGGCACTCCGTGCTCCCCATTTGTAAGTGGTGGTGGCAGCACCAGCCACCCATAACAGGGCTGTGGATTTAGCCAGAACATCAAGCGAGGCCTCAGCACAGTGACCAGGAACCCTGTAAACCCTGCCAAGGCCCCCGGCCGGGCCCATCCACAGAGGCACTGGCTCACTCAGCAGCATTCTCCCCCTGCAAAATCAGCTTGGCTTAAATGTCCTCACAGGCCTCTGCCTGGCCCTGGAGGGTCTGAGTTTGTAGCCTCTGCCCCACAGGCACACCTGGCTGGAGCCCTGCATCTGCCTGGGACTCCTGGACTCAGGTTCCTTGTCTGTACCATGGCCACAGTGGGAGTCTGGGAGCGGGTGCCTGGCCTGCGGTCAGTCTCGAGGCAACAAGGGGAACCAGGGTCCCTGACGGATCAGCCGGGCAGCTGCTGGGCCCCAGACACTCACTCGTCCACGGTGAAGCACACCAGGCGCCGGCGTAGGCCCAAGGCCCGCTGCTGCTCCAGGGCCTCGCGCCCCAGGAAGGGGATGGCAGACTTGAGCTTGCAAGTGAAGGCCAGGCCTGCTTCCAGGGGGCTGTCATCAGCACGCAGGTCCACATGCCAGTGCCGGTAGCCTGTGGGAAAGGCGAGGCCCTGTTAGTGCAGCAGAGGTGGGCGAGGGGCACCCTTTAGAAGCCACCTCACCCACATCCAGCCCAAATCCCCACTGCCATTACTGTTCTGTGACATGGGCAGCCCACTCTAGAAGGTTCCCCTGGGTGAGTTTCCCTGGTCTAGATTAGCCCTGTACTGTCAGAAGGGGAAGGGGCTGGTGAAGGGGCTGGGTGGGGCCTGCTGTCTAAGCCAGATGCTGACACAGGAGCTGAGTGAGCTCACCCAACCCTGCTCCAACTGAGGCTCCACTGGCCATCTGTGGAGTGACCTTCCACAGACCGACCCTCCTTGGAGTGAAGGCATGGGGTCCATCTAACTCTTCTTAATCTCCCAGAGACACTGAGATGCTGGATTTGAGCCCAGCTCTGGCACTTACCACATGGGCCCCAGGCAAATGCTTGTCCCTCAGAGTCCTTATGTATGAGGGTGCAGGGAACCCCAGCCCCCATCTCAGGACATTAGGGCCCATCACAGGGGCCTAGTGCACCAGCAGTAGGAGGGTTTGGGGAAACAGACTGTGTAGGGGAAAGAGGAGGCATAGCATGAAAGGAAGTGCATGTGGAGTGGGTGAGGGCTGCCCTATGCTGACCCCAACAAGGTGTGGCTCCGCAGCAACCGCCCCCATACACACCCGCCACACACATTGTCCAGACCCCATACCAACCTTTCTCAATGCTCAGGGAGTCGATGGCCCGGTAGCCTGCATTGATGAGGCCAAGCTTGGTGCCTGCGGCCATGATGGCCTTGTATACAGGCACACAGGCTGCCCTGGGCACATGCAGCTCCCAGCCCAGCTCGCCCACAAAGGATAGTCTCATGGCCCGGACCTGGGGGAGGAGGTCATAGCTCAGACATAGGTGTGGGCAGGTGACTAGATGGAACCCTGGTGCCACCTACCAGAGGACAATCACGATTGTCACCATGATGGTAGCCAAACTTGAGCCCAGGCCCACTCACCACCAGGAAATGGGAGAGTGCCTAGAAGCCTCTTGGGAATCTCTAAGGTGAAGGAAGGGCTATTAACATTGGGAGGCAGGGTACATGGCTCTTGGGGCTCAGGTCTTCTAAGCACTGTGAACTGGGGGGCTGAAGACTACAGAGGTTTATCATCTCATGGTTCTTGTGTAGTCAGTGGCATAGAGACTATTACTGTTGCGGTGGGGCCCAGAAGGGTGGGACCCATCTGCACAGGCTGGGTTCATACTACCTGCAAACCTAGCAGCAGTGCCCACATCCCAACCCTTGGGCAAGGCCTTGAGCCCACAGTGTCCTCATGGAAGGCTGAGTGCTTGGTGGAATCTGTCCTGATCAGGAGACACTGAGAGTGGGGTGCACCAAAGCATTCAGACAGTGCTGTAGGCTGCTGCCCACTCAGAGCTGAGGGTCAAAGCTGAGGGTCCACCTGGCCCAGCTCCCCTGAAGAGTAATGCAGAACAGGTGGGGGTCATGGACCCTCGAACCTGTGGCCACCCCCGAGCTGGTCCAGAAGCTCTGAGATGGGCACATTGACTCTGTGTTGCCACTTGCCACACCTCTCAAAAAACTCAAAACTGATACAGTAAACATGCTGTTGACATTGCCCCCGGTTTCCCGGGTATGAGCCATAGATAAAGACGGCTTGTCCATGGGCCTCTAATTTTAGAGTGCCCATGGAGGAGCTGGGGCTCAGAGCCAATCTTATCTAAACAGGAAAAATGATTTAAAACCCCACCCATTAACAGCCCTGCAATTGCGAATTTGTGCTCAGATGCAGGCTGTGCCTCAAAGTGAGTGGATGGGAGAAGACCAGGCACTTGGGCAGAACTGGCACTTCACATGGACAGGGCCACCCTAGTCCCTTGCCCAGATTCCCGTCAGCTTAGGGAGGGCCAAGGCTGCCTGGCCTGCTCCCCTTGACACCACCGGGCACAGGGCCTGCTGCTATAGGTGCTGAACAACTATTTCCAGAACTGTGGAAGTAGCAGGGCCAGGGCAGATGGACTCAGCTACCCAGCAAGGGGAGGGGAGGGCTGGGGAATATTTTGGGGCTTTTCCAAGTCTCAGGTTCAAGGAATCTCCAGGCATCTTGCATTTTCTCCCCTGATGGGGTGGAGTTGGAGTTGTTCCTTCCAAAGGGGATAAACATGTAAGGAAGGGATTCAGGATGCAGGCTCTGGGTCAGCTGGACTAGGGGATGGTGGCACCGTAGCACCCTCATCTGCTAAATGTGGTGAGGACGTGCCTGTGAGCACCAGGTGGATAGGATATATGGCACCTGGCACACAGCCATTTCTCAGTGAATGGTATATAAAAGTCCAGACCCCTGCAAGATGGAGCCCCACGTCTTCACAAAAGCCATAGGCAGTGGCCAACAGCAGAGTCACAGAACCACATGAGATCACCTGGAAGGACCTCACATCAGGCCTCATTTCAAACTCTTTCCCCAGGGGTGTGAGGGGAATGATGTGTACTTTCTCCATGTCTTGAGGCCCTGGGATAGAGGAGCCAAGGAGGGAGGCAGTGGACTCAAACACAGGACTGCAACACAGAGATGGAAGGGATGAGAAAGCAGATTCCCAGCAAGGAGGCTAAGTGGGCACACCAACTTGTGTCTAGCAGAAGCTCGGAGAGGAGACACCAGACAGGATGGGGGAGGGTCACTATGTTAAAACATGGCAGAGAAATTTCCAGAATTGAAGATGGTCAGTCATGAGCCTTCAGACTGCAGAAGTACAGTGAGTGCCAAGCAGATAATTACAAGTGAATTCCTGTCTAGGAAATCTGTAACTGCAGGATGTCAGAGGGAGGGGGAGCGAGAGACAGACAGGGAGAGAGAAAGACCTTAAAAACATTTTGAGAGGAAGCAGACACCTGCAAATAACCACTCGGGCAGACTCTAGATGCCTACTGGTAATAGTAAATGCTGCCATTCACTGTAGGATTATGTCTTCCAAGTATAGAGTGAAGGTAACCATCAAATGAAGGGCCACACCCTTGAAGAGTAAAGGTGAAATGAAGACTCCTCAGACAAAGACAGAGTTTACCATGCATGGATTCTTGTTGCCAGAACTTGTTGAGGATGTAGTTCAGAAAAGAGGGGGCAGGGCACCCAGTACCTCTTAGAGTATGGGATCTGGGCTTCTGCTGGAGGTGCAGCTGGCCTGGGTACACCTAAAAGGAAGGATCAGACAAAGGCAGGAATGGCAATGGGGGCAGCAGAGGGCCACAGCCAAGGTTGCCTGACACACCCTGCATCCAGGTTAGAAAGGGAAGGTTTGAAGTCAAGCCCACAGCACAGGCGCCAAGAGGATGCTGGAGACCCTGTGACTAGACCACATGGACCAGTTGCCTTCTAGAGTTCTGTGTCATGTTATCAGCAGGCAAATTTAGCTCTGTAAATACAGGGCTGGAACAGGCCTTGTAGTTCCATCTGCAGGGCCTTGGCTGGCTGGGTGCTGAAGTCCTATGCCTACTGGGCCCCAGCCCATGGGCAGCTTCAAAGATCAGGAAGACTTGGAGGACAGATGATCTCAAATGGCCCACACAGAGAATACGATCATTGCTAAAGCACAGGAGCTGTGTGCCAGCTTTGGGCATCTCCGAGGCTCAGATGCCTGGGCTGTGGCTTACAGGCAATAGAAGACCCCTGGAGGAGGTGTGAATATGAAGATGCCACCTGGAGGGCTAAGAGCTTACCCCGTCCCACACACGTGTGAGTGTCAGTACTAGGAACTCGGTTTCTTCCCCACACATGACTAGCCCAACGACCCCTCCTTTTGCAAGGTGTGTGGTCTTGAATCCCTTCGCCAAGAAATGTTTAGCCCTGGAGGGAGTTCTTTGGGGCACTCTAGTCCCTACAGGGAGGGGAATTCTCCCCCATCCAGGCCCAGGGTTTCTCCCCTCTCCAGGCCCCTCTCATTCAGGCCACAAGAGTGGCACAGAGCAGTGTCCCCGTGGCTTCCACTCCAGCAGGCAGCAAGCTTGGTACTCAAGACATACCTGCCCATGAGGGCAAGACTGAAACTAAGTCAAGGAAACCCCCAGCCCAGGGCCCTGTGCACACAGTGGGTGGTCAGTAAGTTTCAATCAGTTCTACATGCAATCATTTGTCCCCAACCCTGCCAGACTGATGTGGTGGCCCAGGCTGGAATGGGGTTTGTAGCCATTTGCTCTATAGCACCTATGTCCAACCACCCACTGACCCCAGACATTAACATGCTTCCCAGCCCCCTGGCCCTCACAGCTGTTCACTTGAGGCAGCAGCTAGCCACCCAAAAGTAGCAGGTGCCATAGTGTCTGAGAGCACAAGCTTTGGGTGACACAAACCTATTAGGTTTAAATCTGAGCCCAGGTGTGACCTCTCTCTCCTCTGCCACCTCAGGACAATACTGGCACTTCCCTCATTGGGTCCACGTGAGCACTCCACAAACCAATTGCTAGAAAGAGCTAAGCACAGTGCTTCCTACTCAATGCTACTTGCATCCTCAATTTACAGGTAAGGTAACTGGGGCTCAAGAAGGTTAAGTCACTTGCCCAAGGTCCAATAACATGCTCAAAAATGTTTAGCTGGCTCCTGGGGGTGGCCATTTTTTGTTGCATTTGCCAATTCCTGTGGTGTAAATACTCCACCATGGTTGGTTTCAAGCTACCAATGATTGAACCACTATCAGCTCTTGCCAGCTATATGAGCCAGTTTCAGCACATACTGATCAGTCCTCACAGCTAATAGCAGAGCAAGGGCTCAATCCAGGATTCTCCCACTCTGGAGCTAGAATTCTTAACAAATACTCAACCTTGGCTGAGCTATTGATTGTTTCTCAATAAAGTGTTCATCTGGGGATTTGGTTCCATGCTTACCCCACCAATGAACTGTGCATTAGCTTTATGTGTGTGGCTGACTTATTGCCAGCCCTTAGGAAGGATGGGTGCTCCCCAAGGCTGAGAATTCAGAATTCAGGAGGTGCTGGCTTACCCACCCCCGCTTTGGCTCAGAGGCCAGCTGGAACTCAAAGCAGCAAAGGCCAAGGGCTCCTGTGGGGTGCTCTTGGCTGTATGTCATCCAGAACAAGCCCAGAGTAAATACCGCAAGAGGGCTGGAGCAGATGTGCCCCCAGACACAGGCCAATGTGTCCAACCTTTTCATATCACATTAGCTCATGGCCGTTTTAAAAGTTTCCAGGGCATTTGGTTGTATAACAGCAGCCTCAACACACCAGGCACATCCTTCAAACTCAGTCATCTCTTAAATAAGTGAGAATCTCTGGGGGAGCCAGATGTGGGGATGGGCAGGGATCAGAGCATGTGCAATCTTCTGCAGAAGCCTACAACCTTGAACTCATAGTAGAAGGTTCTTCTTGATGGTGGGTTCAGTAGATCTTCATTTTTCAAATCCCCTAGAGAGCCCTAAGGAGCTGTTCTGGTGCTGTGGTTATACCATTGGGCTGCTAATTAAAAGGTCATCAGTTTGCACCCACCAGATGTTCCATGGGAGAAAGATGAAGCAGTCTGCTTCCTTAAAGATTTACAGCCTTAAAAACCTGTGAGGCAGTTCTACTCTGTCCTATAGGGTCGCTATGAATCAGAATTGATTTGATGGCAGTGGGTTGGATGAGAGACCCCAAGACATCTTTGAATCTAAAAACATTACACCAGGGGCACACTCAATATTTCCTATTTGCCATGGGAATCACAGAGGGTTGGTATGGTATGGTGGTAGTGATGATGGTGGCACTAGTGATGGTAGTGGTAGTGGTGGCAATGGTAGTGATGGGTGTAGTAATGGTGGCAATGGTGGTGGTGGTGATGGTAGTGATGGTGGTAATGGTGGTTGTGGTGGTGGTGGTGATGG